TTGTCGCACTTGGTACAGATTATGTGCCAGGACATCTCTCATGGACTCCACCTCTGCGGGGGACAGCCTGTGCACACGCCTCTTTCTACCGCTCCTGTAAATAAAAGAGAAGTTTAAATATTATATTAATGAGTTCATGAAATACTATTCGCATGAAATGATGCCTGATCTATTTTTAGTGCTAAAACAAAAGGCTGTGAAGAGCCTTTCAGTGACCAGTAACACCACAAAATCTTCCAAAGATGAATAAAAAAAGTCAGTTTTGCTCTTTTTTGGCTTTTATCAATATACTGTGTAGTCAGAATAGGCCCTAAGGCGTCATGCATCCGGCAGCAGAAAGTCTCCTTTTCTTTCTCAAAGCTTCATAAGGAAGTTTGTATTTAAGGATTAAATTGGGCAACAACCAGCTATATGTTCAGCAAGGTATTGCAAGTTTCCTCCTCTACCTTAATACGTTCTTCAGCATGGTCTAGCTAGTCTGGGCCTTGCGGTCCTAATGGTTTTAACTCTTTTGAGAAAGTACAGCAAATCCTTAATAACTAAAGCACATGCCAACAAAGGAGTTCGAGAGACTTGGCCAGTGGTGAGGAGAACATAAAGGGTTTCCTTACTACTGAGCCTGTTTCTCTATTTAAAATGAAAGAACTACCTAAAAGATAGTCGTCATCATGTTTTTAACAAACTGTGATGGGAATCCCACAGTCACTTGTAGCTGCCTGGCTTTTTCACTAGCATGGCAATGGATGAGGGCTGCTGTGAAATGTTAACTGGTTTTGCTAAATTGGTCAATCTGTGTGAGAGTTAGCATTTGGCTGAATTCCCAAGAAAAGAAAGGGAAATAGAGAGTGATAATCCAGGATGAATCAGTCTGATTTCATCATATTGTTTCTGTTTTTTTCCTTTCAGGACCATCACGAGCCGCCTGGATTCTACCTATTATTGCCTTTTACCATCAAGTAGACAGTGACTACTGGTGGTCTGGCCCTGTCCAAATTCCTTGGAATAGAAGAATTAATTCCTGATACATTTCAAGGTTTTGGAATGTGTTTTCATTCTGCATCAGACCAAGACTGAGATCTGCCAAATTTTTCATGAAGTAAAAAGAGAGACATGGACAGTAGGTTAAGGTGTGGTGTTAGAGGTAGGGCTGGGGTAACCAACAGGTCAAGAATCTCAGTGAGGTGTGAGAGACTCATGAGTCTACCATTCAGCTATTGGCAAGCCAGAGTGACAGAAAAAGACTTCCTTACTGGATTTGACCAGAAATCTTATCCTGGCCCTGATAAATCCTTCCCAACGAATGTTTAACTGACATTCATCAATTCTCAACAACAGAAACAACAACAAAGCTAGGTATTTTCCATCAGGGAAAAAAGACCATCACCACCACTTAATTCCAAGCCAACTGTGTGGGCTCACTGGTTGGTTGCTTGCTTGGTTGCTGCATTTTCACTTGCTTTCAGCTCTCAGGGATAACACTGAAAGGATCCAGGGATGCCACCACGTTTCCAGGCTTAGATGTAATGCACCTTTATTCTGTGCTGGGTCTGACATGTCCCAGGCTGTGGGAAAGCCCATGTATGCTACTTTCCACAGCAAGGAAACCAGTCTCTTTGCTGCCAGCAGCCCCTAGCTGCAGTCCCTTTGGACTGGGAGACAGGGAGACCCTAGGTACACCTGGGAAAGCAAACACAAGCACAGCCCCTGGGGACTAACGGCAATCTAGCCTGTCAGCAAGTGATGGTCAATAAAATACAGGCTTGGCTCATTTGATTAATGCAAATCAAACTGACATACTTGATGCAAGTAGCTTTGACATCATAGGAAGTCTGGCCCTGGCGGTCTCTCTGGCCCGCACTTTCACTGAATGTCTCCATGGGGTCTTTATACCTTCCAGTTGGGAATAAATAGGGGAAAGCAGCTACATAGGAGAAAGCAGAACTCCACCAAGAAGACATCAAATAACCTCTTTACTTTTTCAGTTGCATAACTGACCCCCTCCACATGCCAGCACAGAAGTGGCTAGTCCCAAGTCATTTAAAGGCTTATCATTTTGCTCTTAAAGTGACTTATATAGAATAAATACATTTCCTTGAGTTTCAGCTGAGCTGGTATAACGAGAGAACAAACAGCATGAAGATAGTCTGTATTGTTCTGGAGCACAAATAAAAAAATGTGTATACTTTTCATGGGATTACATATTAACCTACCCAGCCGATAACAATGCACAGGTATGGTAATAAGGAACAGATTGCTTTTACATTTTGCAATATACAATACATTAAAAAAGAACTTTCAAAAAAACCCAAACAAGTTTGGTATGTTACCAAACCCATAAAGCAAACCTTATTAAAACTATTTCTTTGTTCTTATTGAAACTTCCAGCATGTTACAACAAAGCACAGCACAGGAGATACATTTATGAAGAAAATACTGAAATGATAATATGCCATGAAAACTGACTGCCTCTTTGTAATGAGTATCACAACATTATCTCTTTCTTCTTTAAACAAGGAGTTTCTCCAACTCCAATTGATACATGGAGGAAATAAAATGCCTTCCACAAACCTTGTAAGATTGTTTTTTATATATTATATCTAAAATTTTGAACTTTGTGAACTCTCCACCAATCTTCATTAGTCCCACAACCTTTGCACAACTGCGTCACCACAGATGACAACATGGCACTTGATTCTGATCTGTACTGTATCAATACTTTCTAAGATTTACTCTTGTCAAAGTCAGTGTTGCAGTAACATGAAACCAACATGAAGTAAGCTCAGCATCAAACCATCTCTCTCTAACGGGCATATTTCCTCCAAAAAACAGCCATACAAACACAGTTTTGGTAATAAGTGCTTGACTCTGCTTTTGCCATTTCTCTCCTTGTCTCTAAGACTTATATTCTCTAAAACATCATAACAAAATGCTCAATTTTCATTCCAATGTGGATTGTTTGTTGCACAGTCCATGGCCAAATTTCTCCAGTCCGCACTGGAAATATTTACTTGCATATTGGACACCCACTCCACCTACAGGAATCACACCAGCATGAATGCAGTTTCTAAGAATAATGCTAATTCACAGCAATGGAGATCTGCTTTGATTGTTACAGAGTTTTTCCCCTGCCTAAAGGCTGCAGATCTGATCGGAACTGCTAGTGAGAGAGTTTTCTCACTACTCTGGCACTGCAAATATTGCTTTACATGCCATACATTGGAATTTTATTTCAAATCTGCATTTGCTCATGGCCAGATTTTTGTATCCTCACTGAAGACAAGGACTTCAGGTACAAGCTATCTCAATGATAACAATCAACAATTTACAAATTAATTTAGAAACCTTTTAGTCTTAAGCAGGTTCACTTAATTGCTCAGGAGAACAGAGATGTAAGAACTGCTTGCAGTGGCTCAGACCAAAGATCCAACAACCAGCTCACTCTCCTGCCTCCTCCAGTGCTCAACTGCGGACACCCATCAATGAACAGAGCAGGGAAAACATGTATTTTCCTAGAACACGCTCACAGCCTCCAAGAATCAGAATGTTTCTGAGCCACAGGCTGCACTCTGTTTTTTGAAGCTGACACTTCACTTTTAAAAAGGCTGTCTCAATAGAAGAATCTGTGCATCAGAGATTGATGCACAGTAAAATTCAATTACAGCCAGAGTAGAGCTGGCAAAAATTAGTCCATCATATCAGCTGTTTATTATATGATATTTTTCAATCTAAATTCTCAGCTCAGGAGAGGATTTCTGAACTATGCTGAAGCAATTTGTCTTATTTTCTCTTTCCCTCAAGAAAAGAAGAGGAATGTCATTTGATTGCCATAGATGGTCTACCAACCTTGCACATTTTCTCTTGGCTCAGAACAGTTAGGGAATACAGCAGACAGAAAGGAGCCCGAGAGACACGCAATGTGTTTTAATGTCATCCGTTCAGCAAAGAATGATTTAGAAGGAAAAGGGATAGGTCTTATGCTGCATGCTGACATCAGTTTCAAGAAAGCAGAAGAATCTTGACATGATTAAGCCAAAGTTTCAAGAGACATTTTAATTTAACGTCCAGTTGGTATTTGGACTTTCTGGTATGGGTTGAGATGATCATTCAAAACAGAAAATATGCTGGGGCCTGCCAGAGGCTGCTGCAAAACAGAGAGGAGTTGAAGGATGGAGCAGCAGACAGCAGGCAGTAGCAGCAACAGTGGCCAGTGGGAGCCTAGGAAAGAGTTTGTGAGGGCAAGTACCATTAGCAATACCCACACTCTGTGGGTTGCAAGGTGAGGATAAATACATGCACAGCAGTTAAAGTATGCAGGAGTGAAGATTTGCACAGCCTTGTCTCCTAGAGGGTAGTTCCCTCCATGATGGCTCTGGAGATCCCACCATTTTTCTGCCCTGGTCTATCTGATGCCAAGTTGCATTACTGTTTCATAGAATCACAGAATCACAGAGTGGTTTGGGCTGGAAGGGACCTTTAAAGGTCATCTAGACCAACCCCCGTGCAACTAGCAGGGATGTCTTTGACTGGATCAGGTTGCTCAGAGCCCCGTCCAACCTGACGTTGAATGTTGCCAGGGATGGGGCATCTACCATCTCTCTGGACAACCTGTTCCAGTGTTTCACCACCCTCAACATAAAAAATGTCTTCCTTATATTCTCATCTAAATCTACCCTCTTTCAGTTTAAAACCATTACTCCTTCTCCTATTGCAACAGGACCTGCTAAAAAGTTTGTCTCCCTCTTTCTTACAAGCCCCCTTTTAAGTCCTGGCAGGCTGCAAGAAGGTGTCCCTGGAGCCGCCTCTTCTCCAGGCTGAACAACCCCAACTCTCCTAGCCTGTCCTCACGGGATAGGTGTTCCATCCCTCTGATCATTTTGGTGGCCTCCTCTGGACCTGCTCCAACAGGTCCATGTCTTTGCTATGCTGAGGGCTCCAGAGCTGGACACAGGACTCCAGGTGGGGTCTCACCAGAGTGGAGTAGAGGGGCAGAATCCCCTCCCTCGACCTGCTGGCCACGCTGCTTTGGATGCAGCCCAGGATACGGTTGGCCTTCTGGGCTGCAAGTGCACATTGCTGGCTCATGTCCAGCTTTTCACCCACTAATACCCAGCAAGTCCTTCTCGGCAGGACTGCTTTCAATGTTTTAGTGTACAAATTTCGTACGGAAATACGAATATATCAAAATATGGCAAGACAGTTTGAGGGATTGCAAACTGAAGTAACAAAAATTGCAAATGCTACAAGGAAATCTGCTCACAGCAAAAATTTGTGATTAAGATAATGGTGTCGGGACCTGTGCTCTAAGCTGTTCTGCAGGTCTCTCAGCACCTAGCAGTGATGACCAAAACCCACTGGCCAGCTAAGTGGCAGGTGCGGCCACCTTAAACCACTGCTGTGATTTAAAGCAGCCGGAGTGGCTTCCGCCTCTGACTCATGACTCCTCTTCAGAACTGCTCATCATTGAAGAGAAAGAAAGAAAATGTCCCTGGTTGTCATTTTCAGTCTGTGAATAAAGAGCCAAAGTTCAAATATGATGAGCATCAAAATGCCAGCACAAAACAACAACTTCTCTTTTCTTAACTTTCTTTTTTTTCTTACATTTCTATTGAAGTCATAAAACCCACTGGGTATTTCCTCATTTTTGTCCCTTTCCTTCCTGTCCCTGCTCTGCAAAAGCTCAGGAGATTACTACTCACTGTAAAGAAGCTGTGGATGCTTCTGAAATTTTCATGCCACTCTCAGCCATCTCGATGGCCAGTTTTATTTCCATCTTTTTGTACAATGACACAATGCTGGATTTGGGCTGGTGCTCCCGAATTAAGATTTTCTTCAAATACTTATTGTCAAACTTCTTAAATCTGCAGAAGAGATATTAAAATCGAAGTGTAAAAAAAAAGGAAATGTGTTTTTATTTCTTTGGTACAGGCTGATCTTCATTCAAATGCACACATACATAATTCAGTGGTGGGAACTGAATCCAAATTGGAGGCACCTGTGGACTCCTGAAGGCCAAGTGAGTGGAGACCTTTAGGGGACATTTGGCATGGTCTACTGGTCCAGGGGGATTACAAAGCCCATCAGACAAAAGAAAGAAACAAGCTGCAATCAGAGCATAAAAGAGGGCTGGGTGTGTGTTTGCATATAACGCCACCACATTTGTCGGAAAAGGATATGGCCAGTCTCCACGCTTTTGTACACATGTTGTACTCTAGTAGGGCATAACAGCAGCAGCTGCTCTTACAGTAATCCTGGCCTATTCAGCCAGCCACCAATGAGGCTCTGAATGGCCCAGCAGTTACAGTAGTTTGGGCCCATTATGATGCTGATAATTTTGAATTCTGACAATCAGAGCAGAGGAAATACATTTCTTTGTATTCTGAATAACAGAGAAATTGAATGGACCACAAAATACTATGTGCTCGCATGCTGCAGATTGTAAAATATCACTACTGTTGGCGTAATTTGAATGTGAATGTGTGTGTGCTTTGGAACAGGTATGTGCATTCAGGCAGGTGTTTAGCAGAACAACAACAGATCTTCTTATATGTTTCTTTCAAATGAACAGTTTACCACAGCAAGGTAATAAGTTCCACAATGCTAGCAAAAGCTCCAGAGTTTGTACATTTCTTCTTAACAACAGCTAGTTTTTATACATTAATAGCAGAGATAGGTACACAAATGTTTCCACTGGGATTAGAGCTCTTTATGTTTTCCTATGTAACAGAAAGCTCCCTGGAGTGTCACCACTTAGGTAATTAATTCTGATATACGTATACTAAATGTCTTTAAAGTTGCGTAGGAAAGTCTAGGGAATACCTTTTAATACAATCTTCTTACGTTAAATATCTTCATATACAGTGTGTTTATCTAATTTTCCCCTAAATGAAACATTATGTTATGGCTAGTTTGGATGAAATTCTCTTTTCATAGCTGTTGGGTAGATGTGACATAAGGGGATATTTTCTCACAGATATGTGTAAATGCGGCTGTTTCAATTCAATTGATGCTCCAACAGGGATTTGTTTAGCTTGTTGACTGCACAGACAGTGGTGTGGTCCCAGCAGATGTCCTGAAGCTACCTCTGTACTGTGAGAGCCAAGAGGACATTTTAGCTTCTGGGTCCAGGTATGTGCTCTACCACCTCACATCATTACTCCTTGTTGGGACAAGAACTGGATGAAAACCAGCTGCTTCCTTCCCACTCTTAATTCCTGATTTCCATAAGGAGAAACACAGTCATGAAAGGAGTTGCCACATGTCCCGACAGACCCCCTTGGCTGAGTTACTGGGGTCCAGTGTTGAAAGGTGAGACAGAGGACTCCAGTACAGCAGTCTAGGCATCGCTAGGATAACTAGGGATAACTTTTAGCCCACAGCATCATGATAAGGTATTCGTGGGAAAGGAAGATTAGTCTCTCCCCACATTTCCCTTCTCATGCTGCAGTGGTGGCCAACATGGTCACAGGGCTCCCTTAGGGAAAAGGTGAAGGGAACAGCATCTCAGAATGGCAGGTCCGTCTCTTCTGGGCAATGCCTGGAAGAGCTACAAAGCTTCACAGAACCACCTCATCCTGCTTATAGAAAACACAAATGCAGGTCCTGTGTCTATGAGTTAAGACTAGCTTGAAAGTATCTGCTTATGCTACTGGATATTTAAATTCAACCATTCCCTTCAGTACTCTTATTTTAAATATTACTGATTGCAAAGATCTGTAAGGGTAGGTGACTAATTATTATTGAATTTGTATTCACCAGCAAGGGATCGTATTTGCTGTGAAGGCTGTCAGCAAAAGTCAGTGAAGCACTGACACCTTACGTAGCTTCTGTTCTAAATCCAGACCTAAAGGAGCACTGCCACGGATCTAAGATATAGGCCAAAGCTATATGCACAGGCTGATATCTGCAACATGAGTTCCCATGCTATGCTTTTCTTTCAGAAGGCTTATTTTCTGCTTGTTTGTGCAGAAGCAATTTAGCAGGCAATATATGAGCACTGCACTCCCAAGAGATAACAGTTACTCAGGAGTTCACTTTTTAAAAAGAGATATTGCACATGTCCCAAATATTTTCATGCTATTTTAGCTTTATGGGGCACAAGATTGATTTCCTATTCTATTTACCTGTTGTATTTTACATGATAGATAGGTTATTTTATTATAGTAAGTTGCAATAAGAGATGCTTACTTATCTCTCAGCTGATAATGACTCCAATGTCCACATATGTCTTCAATACCAGCTTTTAAGTGATCCATCAACTAGAGAAACAAACATGAAAAAATTTTAAGTGGTCATTATGAAAAAATAATGTCACTGTAAATACACAATTGTTGACAGGATTTTGAGATTTTTTTAATTGGGAAATGTGAGTTAATTCTGAAAGTATCTGCATTTCTCTGAAAATCAAGGCAAAGATCCCACTGTGGCAGCTCCTATGCTTGGCTGCAGTGGCAATATTTTGATGGAGGCGACAGGTCTGTCAGTCTGCTATCATCTCACCATCACTCAGCAACATATAGGTCCAAGTAAAGGACTATGTCCAATGGAAGGTGATACTGAGCATCCAAATTGCCTGGTCCTCTTTGTCTACTAAGACCAAAAACTACATTCTTGGTTCTGTCAATCAAGTTTCCCTTTTGTATGTGTGACCGTCCTGAGAGGGACACAGGGCCAGGTACCCTAAACCTTAACCGTTGCTTTGACCGACAAGTCCTATGAGGATTTTGCAAACTGTCATGAGATTGGTAAGTTTATCACTGCTAACTACCAGGATTTTCACTTTTGTGTGTTTCTAGCATTATAGAAACAGACAGAAAAATGGCCAATTCTTACATACATATTGTTATAAGTGGTGCTTTTAAAACATAAATTCCTTTCCAGGTTAAGTGTAAAGGTTGAAACAGTAAGAATTAAATGCACTTCAAATTCAAATCAGTTGAGATGCTCTAATTTTGCAGAGTCTCTGCTTATGTTTAATTTTAAAGCACAATGTTTCTGTTAATTTCAAATATATTCCCTATTGTGAAAATGAAAGAATGTACATATATTTTGTATAGTGTTGTTAAGTCAGTTTGAGCAGCTTTCTGTTATTTTATGTAGTGGTAATTTGAGAGCTAAAACAAATGTTTGAGAGGGGAAAAGATCATTATTCAGAATAACTTGAAACGAAATTTGCAGACCAATGTTTCAACTCATTTCAGTTCAATAAAGCTTGATTAAAGACTTTTAAGGTCAGCGTGTCTAGAAACAGTCAAAAGACGGCAACAAAGGCATCTGACAAAACTAGCTGGGAAAGATGACGAGTGTATTTTGTAAAACGCTAGCGTTATGTTTCCATCCTCCCACAGTCACAAGGATCAAGAAGTAAGGGCCCTGCTACACTGTGACACTTGTGGTACGATATTATAATATGACAGTCACTATGAATATAAATTAGAAAATTATGCCTAGGATTTCCTCCAAATGTTGTTAAAAGGATTCAGTGTCCAAAGCCACTGGATGCCAGTGCTACTAAATGCTTCTCTCTGTCCAGCTCCTCTGGAATACGCCTTCGCCTTCTCCTTTTTAGGATACCAGCTACTGATATAAAAAACTTACTCGCACATGAATTTCTTCGTTGATAGACTCCTTTTTGTTGGTCTTCTTAACATCTAGATATCTGACTAATGGTCCAATTGTGATTCCCTGCGTTTGGAACAATGAGTTGAAATGTTAATTATGTTTTAGAAAAAAAAACAGAAAGAAAGCAAAAAGATTTAATTTTAATCAATTAGGAAAGCTGTGTCTTAGACACAAGAATGACCTATTACTGTTATGGAGAGCTACAGAAGAGGATTAAAACTCAAAAACTTTAAAAAAATTACACACCTTTTTTTTTAAAGTGAGCTTGTATTTGTCGACATGTTTTAACTATGTAAAGTAACTGACTCATTGCTAGCCTTCTTCAAAACAGCACTCACTTGAAAAAAAGCATTACCTTTATGAGGTTCTTACAATCCTGAAGCCTCTTACTTCAACATTTTCAGAATGAAATATTTTAGCTTTTTTTTTTTTTTTCACTTAGAAACCATTTTCAGCTGTTCCAAACTCTTTACTGCACTACTACAATGTAGCTTTTAAAAAGGGGAAATAGAAACAAAACGATTTTTCCTGAAACATTCTGGTGGAATTGAAGTGCTTAACTATGCACAAGTGCATAGTGCCCCATTGGCACCCTAGAGTATGGGAAATACAAAACATGGGATGCAAGACCTCTAGAAGATCCAGTTCTTCCAGCTACCGCAAGACACAGGTTTTCAATACCAACTTTCTGAAAAAGATATTTAGTAATACCTAAAAAGCCCTGAAAGGGTAATTACACAGTGCAGTGTGATAAAGACCATAAAATATGGTAGCTTGTCCTAGTTCAAGAGTGAATTCAATGCACTCTTCACTATGAAGCTTTCAGTCACCTCGATTACATGAAAGCAATCCATGAAGAAACACACTTACTTGGATGAAGACAGTGAAATATATAACTACAAGAGTAGCAGTAATGAACAATTTTTTTCTTGGGAAGAGATTTGCTGGAAGCAAGAATGCAAGAGAGAAGCTGCTGGCTCCTCGAAGGCCACTGTAGGAAATAATCAGTTGGTCTTTGAAGGTAAAGGGATAAGTTCGGAACTTGTTACCGATGTAGAAGAGAGCAAATACACCTAGGAAGGGAAAAAAACACAACTATTATTAATCAAGGAGAAAAAGAAAATATTTAAAGCAAAACAACCTCTTGTCTCGGGCAGCTGTTGACAGATCTTTCTTTTCAATTCTGGGTTCTCGGAGCTTCTCTTTGACTAACTGCTGAATCTGTTTTGTGTGAAATAATCCTCTAGAAAAGACTGTGGTTCCTAAATGCTTCAGGATTTAAATTCTCTTATGTTGTTTAGAAGTGAGATTAAGGGAAATGATTTACTTTCTATATTCATGTTGCACAGTTCTTCTCTGAAGTGTTCTGGAGAAAAGACAAACCGCTGGATGAGAGTTTTTCCTGTGCATTCCCTTGCAACGTTTCCTGCTTTCTGCACAGTATCTGCCCAAAGTGTTTGGACAGTGCTTTACCAACAAGTCCTGTGGACAGGTTCACTGAAAGGCAAAGAGTAATAGCATTTTCATTTTTAATCCTCTGGTTTATCATGTCTCTAATCTTCTGTTTATTTCTCAAATTTCATTTTGCTTTTAATAAAAGTTAAAATTAATCAAACAGCCTGCAGCTTTTCTTTATAGAGTACATTTAATGATTTGCTTGATTTTCTCTTAATCTTCTTCATCTTCCATAAGAAATATGTATCCTATGTTTTGTGTTGAAACTGTTACATAACTGAAGTAAAAGCTGGCAAATGCTGGTAATTACTGGTTTTATTTTACACAACTGTCACTGATAAACTCAGTAGATTATTACAGATAAGGCCAGTTGCAGTATTCTGTTACGTAGGTTGCTGGATACCACTTCATATAAGACCTTTTTTGGCTACTTATAACTATACTAGACATCAGCTACCCAGACTCAAACTGCATATGTGAGGTATCGCCCTCAGGCCAATTCTCTTTACTTTATTCAAGCTTCAGAGAAAATGATATAGTGGAAAAATGATTTAGTGGAAAATATTTTGGCCTTCCTCTGGAAAGCTCTAACACTCCCCTCGGTGTTTGAAACAAGGATGGACATGTGACAGCAAAATAGCTTTTATTATCAGAAGAGTACTTTTTCTGTCTTGATTGGGAGGATATTCCAATACAGACTCCAAAAGTAAACCTTTAAAAACTGAGCCACCATGCTTGGTCCAGGATTAGCAAGAAAATATTTACTTTCTTTTTGCTGTAAACCCACAAGAATCATATCACCTCTACTGTTGAGTACTTGTGTCATCCCTATATAATAGAGCTGTTCAGATGCACATACTTGAACCTTCACAGGTTTCCTCTTTCCTGTTTTTCCTCTGGTTAAATGTCTTCCTCCAGGGCTTCCAGGCTTAAAAGTCAAAGGTCTTGAAATATGTATGGGCTTTGAGGGTCAAGCCAACATCTTCCTCCTGCTCTAGTATTCTTTTTTGACTGAGGGATAAGTCACCTGAGAGATTTAAGAAATAGCACCTTAATCTCAGATGTTTGATGCCAACACTTAGCTGGTCCCAAATGTTAGACTCAGAGTACTGTAGACTGGAAAGAGCCTTTAGAGGTCATGTAGTCCAAGCCCCTACTCAAAGCAGAGCTAATCAGATCAAGTTGCTTAAAACTCTAGTCAAGTCTTGAATACCTTTAAGAAGCGAGAGCTGGGCCACTGTTACACTATTGGATCACCCTCATGGTAAGAAATGAGTTCCTACCGTCTAATCAGAATTTCCTATATTCCAGCTTGTGTCTGTTCCTTCTTGTCCTATTGCTGTGCACCTCTGAGAAGTGTCTGGCTCCATCTTCTCCCTCTTCTCTGGTGGGGTACTTGTAGAAATTAATAAGGTCTCTCTTGTGCTGTGTCTTTCCCAGACTAGTAAACAGAGCTGCTTACTAGTCTCCAAGCTTGTACTGGTACATGGAGTTATTTCAACCCACATGTAAGTCCTTGCATGTGCTTTTCTTGAACTTCATGAGCTTTCTGCCAGCTCATTTCTCCAGCCTGTCCAAGTCCCTTTGAATGGAAGTCATCCAGAATACTGACTGCTCCCTGCAATTTGGTGTCAGCCACAAACTTGCTCAGTGTGCACTCCATTCCATCTTCCAGGTCATTAATGAAGACATCGAAACAGTATTTGTCCCTGTACTGAGCCCTGAGGCATGCCATTAGCCACCAGCTAGACCAGTATTTTGAGCCCAGTGGTCCAGCCAATTCACCTCCCACATTATCAACCAAATCAACTAGCCAAAATCTGCTCTTTGAAGTCCAGGTTGTAATTCTGCTGTTTTGTCAGCAGACATCCTCCTCTCAGGATCTTAGCATCCACAGTCTCATGGTCACTGCAATTAAGACTGCCCTCAGTCTTCACATCTTCAGCCATTTCTTCCTCCTTTGTGAGTAGTAGAGAAGATAAAGCATATTCCCCAGTTGATTCATCAGCTATCTCCAGCAGCTGTCATCTGCTTTTTCCTCTTAACCCGTTTTTACCTTCCCCCTTAGGGCATAGCTGGCCCTGATGAATCTTGTTCCTCCTCAATAATGTAGCCGATGATGCAGGGCCAATGCCCAGATCTCAAGCCTGGGCTCTGTTTGTAAAGGGAACACAGACAAGGAATGAAGGCTGGAGGAGGTGGTGGCAGGTGGCCAATGTAGATTTCTGCCCCACAGGATACTCCAGAGAAGCCCCTTTTGATTATAAATGAAGCATGGGGGAACTAACCTACTGACTTACTTAGCCAAGGTAGGCACCTAGATTTCATCCCTCAGAATGTCTCCTCCAAGGCCACCTGATGCAATATTTTGCTATCTATCTCATTTTCTTTAAAAATATAAATTACTCTGAAAAATCCTACTGAAATTCAAAAAGAATGTTATTAAGATGACCCAACTCAGAAGTTAAAAAATGTCAGAAGGAAGGTTGCCTGTATAATTTTTTTTTTGACCCTCTCATGTATACTATGTCTGAAACATCTTTCATTACAAAAGCATCGTTCACTCATATTTTAAACTAAATTTAAGTGACAAATAACAGTGGCTGAGTAGGCTGTGTTCCATAATTCATCACCTCTCCAGGAGTAAATGTATTTGCTTTCTGTTGCAGCAGTTGTAACTTAACCTGATGCAGAGTATTCAGGTTCAAAAAAAGGACGGCATAATTCATGGGCAACAGGTCCAAAGACCTGTATATAGCATAGGCAAGGAGTGTACGCTCTCACATCCCTGACACAGGGTCTGTAGATGCTGAGGTGAACAGACCTCGGAAAGTGGCCAGGCTTGCAAGCCTTTCCTAATTAACATCTCCTGCAGGCTCTGTTGAAGACACCGCTAGAAGGTTGGTTTAACCCAGTAGGTCACTCTTTCTTTTCTTACATCAGCTAGAGTGTTTGGCTGGGTGGTACTAGTAGATGAGGGAGAAGATGGCAATGTGTTGCCCCTCTGCTTCCACAGTTGCAGTAATTTGTCTAACAGGCACAAAAGCAGCCCATATGAGAAATCTTCCAGGACTGCTACTACCTCCAGAACACCACCAGCCTTCCTATTCCTTCTCCTTTTTCAAAGTTACTGTTAATCCATCCTGGACATTAGGAGAAGATGAGAAATTGTGTCCCACAGCTCATGGTACATCATGAATAAACTGTCCTGCCCATGCTGGAGGAATCCCAGTCTCACAGCTTAGGGAGTAGGAGACCTTGCAGGAATGGGTATATACTGTGTGTAGAAATGGAGTAATTTCAAACAGGCACTCTTTTCTAGAAGTTTAAAACTTCACTTGTGAGGAGCAGTAGCATAGCGTGATTGGCCTAGACATGGTATAAGGAAGGAAATGGATTCCCTGCTCAGTTATCTATCAGTGCTAATTTTCGCCTTCCCTCCTTTTTCAATGCCTCCGGCACTGCTGGCCCAGGATCTGTAGTGTTATAGCATCAGAAGTGTGGCGATGTACATTATCTAATTAGTAAGTTAATTACAGTGTGCGATGAAATCATTATGAAGTCCACTTACCCAAGGGCATATAGTTAACTAAGATATAAATACCTATATACGCATAATCATGGTAATATTTTAATTTTGCTTAAATTATTCCATTCCCACCTAATCATAAAGTGTGCTTGAAGACTGGCATTCAAATTTTTGGGGGCTTCCCCCCACTTTTTCCCCATGTGTAGATTTGTGAAATTAACTTGTCAGTAACATAAGCCTAGCAAATTCCTTATTAAAGTGGTTATGCCAGTCTGCACGGACTTTTCTAACATACCTTCGCTCCAAAGGGTTTCTCTCAGAGGTGCAGAGCAGGTTGCCTGCAAAAGCTGACTTACTCAGTGTCCGCCAAATGAAGCAGAAGAGTAGAGTGAAGCAAATGAAGGCCCAGTTCCACTCGTGGTTTTTCCCAACTGTAGACACCCCCATGAACACGAAAATCAGGGTCTCACTGACGCTGCTTAGCATCTTCATGAAATATTTTATTGTGGTATAGGAATTCTGGGAAACATTCTCCTCCACATATTTTTTCATTGTCACTGCACATGCTGTCATCCTGTACCACACAAAACATCAAAGATCAGCCACAACCTGTTTTCCTTTTCATTTAAGAGCAACCTCAAGCCTTCATTACTTGCACTCTCCATCACCAGCCTCTGACCCTCCTAATATCAAGAAGCATCTTATTTCTTCAGTAAAGTTAGCTATCTCATTAGATAGAAGAGCATCTTACTTCAGGTTTACAAATCCATTTTGCATACAGGAAAAAGGAAGCAAACCAGTCAGCCTTCCTGACAAGGAAGTGAGGGTATCATGTTCCAGTTCAAAGTCCATTTTATCCTGAATGCCTAACACACAGCCACTGAGCACCAAATATTTGACTCTCAAACAAAGGGCAAGTCAGTTTTGTACCAGCCTACAAACGGATCAGTTAGAGGGACATAACCTGCCTCTTACTGATCGTCTCCTTTGAAGTGGTGGTGGGAGAATGTGGTGATAATCTTATGGCGGAGTCAAAGGTTAGCAGATCAGGGTAAGCTTCAGCGACTCTCCTCCCACAGCAGCCCATTGCTGTACAGCATTCAGTTATCCTACAGTTATCCTACAGAGGTTAGGTTCCTGCCTTTTGGTTACCCAGGGTATGGGGAATGTGCCTAAGGAAGCAAGGGGATGCTCTCCACCTCTTCACTGCTAATGAAGACTAGAGCCTGCTTCAGAAGCATCAGCAGCCACCCAGCACAGATGCTGGTAACAATCACATGGAGCAGTAGCCTTTGAGCATCCCTACTGAAGTGGGTTTCCTCTTCCCTCCTTCATTTTCCATAATCATAGGTAATAGATATATTGAGTGCTATGCTAGTAACATATTCCATCATCTATCTAGTTTCTACCGATATTTTTTTAGTCTTTGGGGGCTTCTTGTGATGATATTTTTCCAAACTTGTGAATTCAGAGAACACTGACTGTTCATTAAATAAAACTTCATATAGTTGCTGCTCATTTAATTTCCACTGAAAAAAATCTCAAGAGTATTCTGGTGGAGCTGAGACATTTAGCAGGTCCAAGGACACTCTAAGACAAGGCCATTAGGCATTAATGTTTAATGCTGTTGACTTTCAGAGACACATGCATAATAGACTTTCATGATCCAAGTGAAAAATGAATGAATTCCTCAATAATTCAGAAGGGTGACAATAAGTTCCCATCTCTAAAATAAGCAATAATTTCCTTAATGAAGCAGTAAGAATAATAAATCCCGATTATATTAACATTCTTTTATTACTAATAGTTTCAGCACTCTAATGAACAGAAGAAGCAAAAGAAATAGAGCGCTATATAGTCTAGTGTAATGAATAGGCAGGGAAGTAGTATTTTGGGCAGTGCAGGTAGGAGAGGGTCTATGCGGTATTAGTGCTCACTACACAGTAGTTCTAACC